TTTGCGGTTACTTTCTAAATATCTATGTTCGCTATATGCTATTGAAGGCAATTTAAGTGAACTTAAAGATTAAGTAATGTTGATCCAATCAATTCAATGTGTACATTAAAAATACAACTTGAACAAATAGGAAAGAGGCGATTTCAGTGTAATATTTGCCAATGAGAAAGTAAATTAAAACTTACAAGTCTCTAATTCAAATTCCTTCTGCTCCTCATAAATTGAATTAAGTTTCAAGTAAATTCTCAGTTGAAAGTGAAAAGGAAAATTGCTCTAAATTTGAATTGAATGACCGAATGTCTAAATACTTCACACCACCTCTGCCNCCCCCCCCCCCCACAGTTTCAATGCATTAAACTAAAGAAAACATTGAGAAGCCCACCCAACAGGAGCTCCCAAGCTTGAATTTGAAAAGACTGAGTTATCAACTCGATTGGATTCCACGAATCACATCTCAGCTACGTCAGACCACTTATGAAGAAGATGAAGGCGATACAATTATTGGCTAACCAGGCAGCCAATCATCTATCACCTATTCAGTACTACATGAGCCATGCAATTTAGTTAACAAGAGAAACGTAGTTTGAGTTGTTAGTCAGCACTTTTGCTTTTCACTGACTGTAAACAATTGTATCTCTAATGAAGAACGATTGAGAAGTTATAGAAGGTAGTTTTAGTGATTATATGTATGTGACAACTCAATTTCGATTGATATAGGAGGATTAGATTACATTCGGTAGAAGTGATCTTTATTGCAATTTAAAAGATAAAAAACCACCAAAGAATTTTTAATCTGTCAGCCTTACTGGAGAGGCCGTCTTTTGGTAAAGAAAGTTTATATCAAATGGCAGGCGTTTTGATGGTTATCATTAGCCCTTTAGTTGACTTCGGGATTTACAGAGGGAAGGAACCTGTAGCTGACTTCGGGGCTTCACAGAGAGGAGAAGAAACATGGAGCTGACTTGGGGGTTTTGAAAGTTATCATTAGCCCTGGAGCTGACTTCGGGGCTTCACAGCAGAGATAGGAAGGTACATCCAGTTGACTTCAGGCTTCACAGAGTGGAAGAAACATCAAAGTCTGACTTCGGTCTTCATAGAGAGGAGGAGAAACATCAAGGTGACAAAAAGAGCTACGGGCTTCACAGAGGGAAGGTTCATCAAAGTAGCATAGTTCGGGCTTTACAGAGGGAAGGTTCATCAAAGAAGCAGAAATGACAGGCGTTTTGATAGTTATCAGGAGGCGTTTTGATAGTTATCATTAGCCATTTAGCTGACTTCGCCGGCGTTTTGATAGTTATCATTAGCCCTTTAGCTGACTTCGAGCTTCACAGAAGGGAGGAACATTAAAGTGAGAAAAAATCATTTACAGAGGGAAGGAACATCAAAGTGAAAAAACTCGAGAGGGCGTGGGGGAACAGAAGAGTGATTCAAAGACGAAGGTAGATAAGGTGGAAAAAGGTGGGGTGAGTACTGTAGAAGTAGTCGAATATGACATACAGTGGGATCATGGTAGTTTGAAGTCAGAAGTCAACTGCCGGTTAATAGACTTGTTTGCCGTATGAGTATACGTTGCTCAGGTTGCACCACGTGGAGGTAAATCTATCACACACACCTTGGTAAAGAAAGTATCTATTTAGAAACTCACCTTTGGTCATTTGAACCACTGGATGTGGACTTATGACCCTTGACCTGGTGGGTCACTATGGCCATCTGATTACATAAACTAGCAAGGTAGTAATTCTGTTTTCTTGAATTAAAAACCTAAACAAACCTAATCTTGAGAAATAGACTAAAATAGGCGCTCTCTAGAACAAACGTAATGTAATTTTTTTCTTCGGATCAGATTATTCCATAACTTTAAAATCAACCTTTATAAGAGCTAAAACTGATTATAGTCGAAGGAAGGCAAAAGTGCTGACTAACAACTCAAACTACGATTCTCTTGTTAATTAAATAACATGGATCATGTAGTCCTGAATAGGTGATAGATGATTGGTTGCCTGGTTAGCCAATAATTGTATCGCCTTCATCTTCTTCACAAGTGGTCTGACGTAGCTGAAATGTGATTGGTGGAACCCAATCGAATTGATAACCCAGTCTTTTGAAATTTAAGCTTGGGAGTCATTAACTATGAATCTATATCCATTTATTATTTGAGTTAGCGGGGTTGTTTAGATCTTACTCGTTGGCTCGGTATGTTTATCACTAAAGTTCACTCGTTTTGTTACTAGCAGACACGTCAACTTAATTCGATACCATGGCTTTAAATCGATTAGTTTCAATAATCTCAGTGACTGCTTCTATTAGCCCAGGATATTTTGGAGCTCAAATCATTAAATTACATGATGACTTTTCAAGGTTACGAAAGTGAAAGCGATAGTCATTATGATGGAAAGTCTTGGCTTTATACATCATTTTATGTATTATCAAACTGCCAAACATGGTTTACATGCTCAAAGTTCCGTGTTCAAGGTTGAAATGCCACATTAGTGAGACCGCTGAAAAGTGGAAAGAGGAGTCCTTGATGCCACAAAAACATTATTTGTCTTTTCTTCGATAAGGACTTGTGATTAATTAACCTTATTGAATTTGAATGGAATGGACTAAATTGAAAAATGGGATTTTTTCCCATTTCTTTAACTACGAAATTATTAAAATCTTTTAACTTACAAATTAATCAACGACCTTACTTTATTTCTTAAAAAACCCACAATTTAAACAATGCATCCTATTGATTTAATTTGATTTATTTAGGAAATGGAAGTTAAATTTTTTAATCTACACAAAATTTGGGGTTTAATTTAATAAAATGCTACTAATGATTTAATGGTTCGAATCGCAATTAAAGGCCATTTAAGTAATGGAAATCAATAGACCGTGTGAGCGAGTGCGTGGGTGAATAGCCATGTTATTGCTTTCCCACGATCTAATCAATAATAGCGTCTAACCTAAAGAGACCGTAGAAGCAGTTTAAATACAACTCCACGGATTTAGGACATGCAATAAACACGCCTTGACTCTAAACCATCATCATCCACTCAACTATTTGTAATCATTATTTTGAAATATACATTGTCAAAGAATTTCACTGTCCTTCTTATTCACTTAGCTCTAAAAACAAACCATTAGAGAGCAAGGGACCATATGAGTTTCTCGCATACATTTTTATACCGTCTCTTACCATTCAATACTTTTTTAATCATGTTTCAATTCCCAAATCCTCTGCTTGGATTGAGACGTGTGTTGCATCTACTTCGACCTATTTAATTTTTTCCGTTGTTAGTTTCACAATAACTTGCACAGCACATTGCATTCCATGGAAAAAGTTGTCCGCAGATTGACCCTCAGTATTTGCAGTGGTAATGCGAGATTTATTAATGAAAAATTTCCGCCGGTACTGCAAAATTCATCTGTTTCTTCTCCATAAGCCAATGATTAGTTTTCGGAGTGTGTTCGGAACAAATTTCAATTAATCATATTAAGGTTTCGACCAGCCTGATGCTATTCTTAATCAAGAAGTGTCTTATCGGATGATTAAGTGAATCAAAGACCATGTAATTTGACTGCTTTTTTAACGAATATGCAAATTGCGTGAAAAAATAGCAAAATTATAAATGCTCCCTTTCTATTCATCACCTACCGGTGAAAGTTGTTCCACCATAAGTGGGGAGATTGACTCCAACCAAAATCGTTTCTGTGGACTCCTGAATCGCATACAATGCATTATCGAGACCTGTTAAAACCCACTTAATCACCCAAATAGCTATGAATCCCGAGAATTAGAGATTAACGCTGCACAAATCAAACTTCAACGACTTGCTTAAAACATCAACAATAAATTGTTAATTAATTTTTTATTGGAAATTTTTCAATCACTGGTGCCATTCGAACTGTTTCGAATGATTTAGGAAGGAGTTGTTATTGTTGTTTTTATTATATCACTAGTGAGGCTCCAGAGTCCCATTGGTTTATTCAAGTTAAACTTCATGCAGCTCCTCTGTTCAACAGTCCTTGAATTTATTGGGAATGATACCCCTCTTATTTTCCATTTTCGACCCCCCCCCCCCCCCCCCCGATATCTATGTTGGTGACTAATAAAAACTTTTACATTCTTTACCCCATTTTAAACTGGGTTAATTTATTAAAGCAGTTAAATCAAGTTTAGAGTATTCGAAATGCCGCATTGAGGCTTAAGAAGGCTCGAATCTGTTGGCTGCGAAAACGCTGCCCGAAATTCGCTACCTCTAAGTGTCAATCGGGAAAAGTTTCGTGGAATCGGAGATGGTGTGAAGTGGTTTATAATTCATTGGTTGAGTTGGTTGAATTTTGTAAAAAAATCACATTAATATTTAAATATACACTATCCAATATACGAAATATTTCAAATTTTATAATCGACAATAAAATTTAGTCGAATCTAAGAGACCTTTATTTTGACATGATATGAAACCGTCTATAGTCTTGAAATAATTAATTCTGCATAAAGATCAAGAAAGTATTGATCATGTCGACAAACTTCGAAATTCAAGGTAACTATATAATTCACTTTTCAATCAAGCTCATATTCATTAAATACTAACAGTTAGAATACCATATCCTAATGGAGGAGTAGGAAGAACATTATAATAAATTAAAGTTATATTTAAACCAGTTTATTATAATAACTACTGTTTGTCGAATAAATTTATGAAAACTTCATAGACGAAGAAATTTGACTATATATCAGAAATTTTAAACATAATGAATTACAATTTTACATTATTGGCAATAGAAACGTGAAAAAAGCCGACCAGCTTTGAGAAACATTAGAGATTATCAAAGGTGCCAAATAAAATTGTCACAACCGTTATCTTTAACTGGCAAAAGCATCAATATTATGAATTTTTAATTTGCCTTATATGTTCAGAATCTTTAAGGAATGAAGTTTAGTTTATATTTTGTCAGGTTTAACCACAACCTTGAATGGTCCAAAGTGACCTTCTGTCTTTCACTCTGGGTAGCTTCTGGTACTTAGAATGCTAGGAAAAAGAAAACAACAGGTTTTAGAATCAGATATTGAATATCTTTGCGATCTTGCTTCTAAATATGCAGATAAAAGTCCATATGATGGCAAAGGGATCTTGTTACTCTGTAAGTCCTTATTACCCAACAATTGCAAAACCATGGTAGGTGATTTAATTGATGAATACTATTCTTAGCTTGTGGAATATGATATTGCGAAAAGGATAGGCGATCACAAAGTCGCTGCAACCTTTATTACAGAAAATTGTTCCGCTCTTAGTAATCACTGGTATAACGAATTAAATGGCATAATAACTGGCCTTCTAGCGAACCCTATTGATGTAATTTGCCAAAGTAATTAGCTAGTATATTATTAACGAAAATTGTATTTTAGGGATTTTCAGTGCTTTAGCTCCACGTGTTCAGTGTGATTTACTCTTCTCATATATTTCTTCCAAATATGATAACGCGGCAGACCAGACTGATTTTTTTTTAAAATTTTTGAATACCAAAATAGATATTCTTAAGGAAAAGAATGGAACTGTCGAGTTTTTGTTCAAGAAGTTTATTAATATTTTGATGCTGGCAGAGGAGGATCTTTTCCGAACCTTGACTTCCGAACCAAAACCGAGTGAAGATATACCTGATACTCCCCTCTCCCCTGAGTCTGTAGAAAAAGTTGAAGAAACAAAGATTTCTGCTATGGTAACTGAAAGTGGTGGTGGTAATGAGGATGAAGGAGAAGAAGGCGAAGTAATCGAAGAAAACGACGAATTTGATGAATTTATTGACGAGGAGGAGGACTCAAATCGAAAACGGGTTAGAGGAAAGGAATTAGCGGAAGTTCTAAACATTTACAGAATGAAGCTTGCCTGTGAGATTTTGCCATTGATACATAAGGTATTTTTCGCTTTTCTTCTAACTTTACCTTAGATGAGGAATAATCTCAAACTTGGTATTCATTTTCTCCACAACGTGGTGACAAATTCTCTCCAATTTATCTTCACTTTTGCTGTTCATTGTCCTTTTGTTTCGGAGGGATATCCTACAATTTCGGGTTTGAATGATGATATTCCTGAACTACTCAAGGAGGATCCTGTTACCCTCTTAAGGATATACTTGGATATGGCTTCTGATCTTCTCAGATGGTCTGTGAAAGCATCCTTCAAAGTTCTCTCAAAATCGGAAATTTTCGATGCACTTAAGAGGGCTTATCACGATTACAAAGAACGAAATCATGGCAGTGTAGGGGCAAATGTAAAGAAACGAAATCAGAACATTCTATCTGCTACTGCAAGTCAAATAGGTGCTATATTCTGGGCTCTCTTTATCGAAACGTCTTTGGAGTACTTCACAGAGTTGCGAGAAAGAGCTTGTATTCCATTCAACATTTCTACAGTGGCCTCCGTTGTCTCAGAAACAGCGGATCCACCTTCAAACGAAACCTTAACTGGGTTGCTGGAGGGGCTTCAGTCTCTCATGTCACTGCGGCAGAAATTTAAAACTCAGAATAAATCAAAGTTTCGGCCCCCCCTTGCCCAGGGAAAGGAAAGGTTGACTCTCGATGATGCCTTGTCTGCATTAAAGCCCCAGGGAGTTATTGAAAGTGATCAATTTACCTGCCTTTTGGAGTTTATATCTTGTCTTGGATTGACGATGGGTAGTTTAGACGAAATTTGTGAGGATGTGTTTGCTAATTCGTCTCTAATATCAGAAGTTTTTGACGAGGAACAAACCAAGGTTATCCAATGCTTGTTAAGTCTTACAAAGCTTCATTTGAAATCGCCGAAGAAGGCAAAGGACGTTGCGGCGGAAAGATTTCGATTGGTTCTCCGGTTGAATGAATTAGAAGTATCGGAAGATTCCACTAATCACACATGGAGCAAACTATCAAATTGGGTATTTTTGCTCTCTATAGTAAATCCTATTGATACGATGGAGATATGTTTGGCAGCTATAGAACAGTGGTTAGCTGATTCCAAGAATACTCTTGAAGCTGCTTGTCTTATCATTGTCTTGCATCAAAATCCTCTTTGGACACGTATACCCGAACTTAGCTGTGAGCATACTGCGGAGTTTATGAATTCCCTTCAATCAGATTGGTCTAAAGCAAGGACTCTTCTCTCCGGTTGGCTTAAGGCTGGATTTATTCAATGTCCAAGTGTACTAACGCAAATTGTGCAAATGGAAATGTCTTTCTTTTCAGGAGATATGTAAGTCATTGTGGTATCTCACAGGTCATTGATGTTGTAATCGTATTGATAATCGGCGACTTTATCTTTTAGATCTGAGTCAGAGGTTTACAAAATGTGTATGGGGCTGATGGAGTCACCACAGAGCACCATTCTTCCTTCCCTAAGGCTGTTTTTGAAAAGGGAAACTAAATTTATTAAATCATGCTTGAATGCTTGAGGTAGAATGCCGTATGTGCAATGTATAAATTTGTTTGTTTTTTTTCTACTCGAAATTGATTTGTGTATCTCCCAAGAAGGTCATAAATTGTTCTTCAAAGTTGATGTGTTGTCTCCTTCATATAGTTTCTCGTAATTGGCTGTCATTAAAATGCTTCATCGGCATATAGGACGTTTAGTCTCGTTTGAATGCATGGTAAAGTCAGTCTCTCGATGAAAATCTGTCAGTATTTATATCTTTAGAGAATGTACTTAAATAGATTTAAGTAGTATAGAGAGGTCGATTTAAAAATGTCCTTATTGAGGAAAATTATATTAATAAAAGGACATAAAGTCTATTCGTTCCTGGGGATATGGAAGTGTGTCTACGGCCGCTGTGCTCACGCCCAGAAAAGACATTTGGATAGGTGTGCGTACTTTTCTGCCCAATGGCCGACCTAATTCTTGGTTTTCCCAGTGATCAGTTTCCTTCGTGCTGACCTAGGCAAAGCTGCTGATTAAACAACATGCTTGGGGTGATACAGTATCAATGTTCCCGGAAAATGATGTCATATGTGTTGGAGTTGAAAGAGCAATAATTGCTAGGTGATTAAGTCTGTGGCTTCAAAACAACTTGTTGCTGGTCAATAATGCTTTTCAGCTTTACATATGTATTAGATCGAATATCAAATTATGAGAGCTGCCGCATTAGCGAACCAACGCATTGTCTTTCTGAATTCCCAGTATATTTTGTCAAGCAGCGTTAAAACACGAAAAAGGCGTGTTACTAGTTACAGCAATTTCAAATGGCCTATTGAACTATCGTTTGTACACTAGAATAAAATGGCATAACAAGACGAATAGACGGCGAATTTAAATAAATAAAGCTCAAAGTGAAGTAACAATTCAAGAGTTTGACGGTCAGTGAATTGTATTTGAGAAATGAGGAATCTCGGGAGACGAGGAAAATAATACGCATAACCAAGCAAACATGAGATTGTGACAATTTGCAGCGGTTTCAAACCAAGCAATGCAAGATGAAAAGTTTTTCATTTATTTTCCTAGTAAGAACTTTCTTTGACTAATTGCGGTATTCGATAAAACTAGTATAATAGGATTACTTTTGAATTTGTTAATTACTACTATTTTCGACATATTATTAGAATTTTTTGTCGTTTAGTTACGTATTTTTAATTTAGTGTACGTTTTTAACCCTTGAAAACAAGACTATGAAATTTTATTTTTTGTGATCAATATCAAAGGCTGAAATATTTGCCGCTACTTTAGAATGATATATTTGACCAATTTCAATATGTTTATCATAAAATAGACCTTGTTATTTAATATTTTTAGTTATAACCACTTGAGTTAATTACTAATATATATATTTTTCGATCGGTTAATAAGCCTCTTTTTAATAGTCATCGTTTGAACAATTTTTATTTTATTGCTCTTTAATTTACTTTTTCAGACTAAGGGCCTGTTAATAGTCTAACATAACAGTGAAATGTATTTATGATTCTAGACATGATTTTCATAACCTAATTAGTTTTCATTTGACATCTTATAGATGACTAATGTCGGCGATATTTTCAGCTCACTATTGAATGGCAATCGCCGTAACAAAAAAGTATACACTGTTATTCGCTTATTGAATTCCCTAGATATGTTTAGATCAAGCACTTACTTCTCTCAAATCTGTTTCAACTCGAAGGTATCTTGATAAAAATAGCTCATTTAAATGGCTGAATCGTGACGCCAACGTCTTCACCTGGAAATCAATGTGTGAAATCATTCAACTTCTTCTCCAAGAGGAACTCCGTGTTCTGACTTCACGTCGAACTAGCACCGATATCGTTTCGTCCGAATTTGCTGATGCGTTCCGTCTTCTTAATTGTTTTCTTTCGTGTGGACTACAAAGTATGTGTGAAGATTATATTTTAATGTTCTTAGCTGATTTAAAGCTTCCTCTGAACGAGATGCTAGTATTTCTTTGCGGAATTTTAACTGACCCGAAATTGGTCTATCTGCAATCGCTCGTTATTGATGCCATATCAGCCCTGCTGTGGTATCTTCCGGTGGAAACTCAAACTCTCGAAGCAGCAACTTTATGTCGTAGGTGTTTTGCTTTTTTTCTTAGCGCACTTAGGTCTCCTGAATTGGTGTTTTGCTCAAATGAAAATTACTCCATCCGATGGTGTTTCATTACTCCTTTGTCAAACAGTTGAAGCCTCCTTTACCTCAAGGAAAACTCTCCAATGTGGATTTGGTGATCTCCTTGAATCTGTCTTGACCTGGTTGGTTAAAATAACTTCCTTTATGATATGAATGCTTTTTAAGCTTCGAGCAGGGTTGGAAAGATAGGCATGGTTTGGGCTGGTTTCTGCGCTTATTTCGTTGGACCGTGGCAGAAGTGTGTATCACTCTGGAGATTCATCAATCCTTGATTAAATGCTTTCTCCAACGGACGTCCATTATTTTCAAAATGTGGAATGAATTGAGGGATGCAGGTTGTCAAATTGGTGTCTCCTGTCACGAAGCACTTCCAATTTTGGATGTTGAAGATGAATCCTCTCCAGCTTTAGCACTAGCGGTATGCTTACAAATAGATATACAACCATTAATATATATACAGGGTGATTAGCAATCAACCTTATATTTCAGCCAGATTTAAAACAATTGTCTCGTCTAAACAGATCGTGTAGAGTTAAGTGAAAAGAGTACAAGGTATACATTAAGTAAGGAAGATGAAAATGTTGACCTGGATGCATAAAGACCACATGTGGTGAGAGTAAATAGTGACACATCATCATCGGCCCCATACTACAAGCACGTATCAATTGTTCACCTTTTAATTAAGTTGATATTGCTTTTTTTCAGCGAAAACATCTCTTCAAGCCGTGTTTTTTTTCAGATTCGGATTTATCTCCCATTGCCTTAAATAACTTTGTAGGTTAATAATGACTTTCAATATCCTTCTTTTAGGTTAGCAAATGTCTAGATGATCCTTACTCCTTGGATGATTACTACGTCAGAGTGGAAGTACTTAAGAGTCTCTTTTCAATAACGGAGGAGTCTACTTTCGAGCCCTGCTTGCTCGTTGATGCTTGTTTCCTAGCGGATAAAAAGCCATCGCTTCTTCCTCGTAAAAATGGCCGACGTCCACACCCCAATTCCATTGACACCGGACGTGAACTTTTGATTCTCTCACGGTGGATCCTCAATACTTGTCTTGCAGTGAAATCGAAGGAATTTGCTAAGGAGATTGAACCGTTTTGTCGACTTCTTGCTTCACTCCTCACCTCCGAATGGACTCGGTGTTGCAATCGAATGCTATTTCAAGCGGAGGATTCGTTGAGCTCCCAATTGGTTGGAATGGAAGATACTTTCGCCACATTTGGAGCTCTTTTAGTGGTTATTAAAACGTTCGAAATGGTTAGTTGTTGCCTAGCTTTATTCCCCCATCCTTTAGACTGAAATACAAGAATATCTATGTTCTAAGTTATCTATTAACACGTCGACAGTAATCTACGGTTTTTTCCAACAACTCCTTAATGCTAACGAACTTATCGGTTGGCTATGGTGGCCAGTTTTTGATTGGATGCTTCGTTTTCAATGGCAAAGAGCCGTAGCAACGGAATCCTTACGGGAGTTTAATTTTTTTGAAGCCCTGGATGCTATTTCAAATATGCTTGATTCAGCGAAGCGACCGTTAGGTATTAGATATGCAATATCGACAACAATTACTGCGTTGAGAGCGGCTACTTACTGTCTGAAGAAAGATCCAATAAAGTTGGTTGGTAAGGCACCAAGTCTGGAGGGGATATGGGACCAAGGCATCAGGTGAGTAGTTGTCAAATTCTGTTCATATTACTTAGGTGGTTGGAAAGATTGCTGGTGACCAAAGATGGTGAACAAAGGGTTAAGAATGAGAAACAAATGGCTCTAGTACATGATCGGCCAATCTGTTTGCTTTTTGAAGAGTTACTGAAGCTTGACGCTACTACTTGCGGATCCACTCCACCTAGATCCAGATACCTTTCAAGATTATGGCAGATTTTGCTATCGACTCCTAACTTTGGAAATCCACTTGTGCCTTGGCGATATCGCCTAGCTGTTTCTATTTACCTTGTTTATCCCAAAATCTCAATGGAAATTTTGTGTTCGTCAAACCAACCTTGTTTACCTTCGCCGATTGAATTTCTCTTTAAAAATTCCAACAATTTTGTTATTCATCGTTGCTACAACTTGCATTGGAGTTTAAGTTTGCTCCTACAACAAGAAGATCTTCCCCATTGGCTCCCCAGTGGTGATATCGCACCGGATTATGGTGAAAAGGGTCAAGAAATGATTAGACAGCTTGTTCGATCGCATTTTTCAGAGCCCAAAGATCGTTTCACCCGTCTATTTAGCCATATCGTAACTGGAAAGCAACTAGAAACTCACTATTTGCAAGAAGCAGTCGATTATGTGCTGTCCGATTTCGAACGACAAAAGGGCTTATCTTGCTTGCTTTCTGAGCTTTTAAAGACGATTCCTAGACAACAATGGCCTAGTAAAGTGGATTTGTTGATTCAAAACCTCCTCGTCTTTAAGGAAACCAAGGAAAATAATGAATCGATTCTCGATGTAGACCTTGGTGATACCAATGATATACCAATTGATGTCGCATTGGGAAGCGCTGAAGACGTGAGCAAGGCCGATTTTAAATCAAATTTTTACGAAGTGAAAATCGATATCCCGCTTTCAGCTTTCTCGTCTGATGACTTGCTAACGGAGATTGTATCTTGCCTTCAAAACATTTTGCCCACATTGTCGTGGAAATGTGCTAAAGACACTAAATGGTTGGTTGCTTTCCTTCGTCATTTAGCAAAAGTGAGATTATCTCCAACTGCGGGTGAAACTGTTGTTGAACTATTTTGCTGTCTAATCGATGCCATTAAGGACGCGCTAAAAACTCAACTCGTCTTGAAAAGAAATTCTCTGTTTCTTGATGTGATATCAGGGTTAAATGAGTTTGGTCTGATATTATGCAATTATGTTAGAAGAGTTAGTGAAGACGTTTTGGTCAATGAGATCTGGGAGCAAATAGGCGGCCAAGTGGTAAAGTTGGCGGAAACAGCCTGGGTTGCCGGAGGGTCAAGGTGGCCAAAAATTGAGGAGCAATTCCTGCCCTCTTATGTATCTTCAGTTTTCTGTGATGCAGTCGCAGTAAATGTCAAGGTAGAATTATCCATATTGGAAATTGCATCAACTTATTGCCATTCGTCAGACTGTACTTTGTGATTTCAGCTACATTCAGTTGGATTGGTTTCTGAGGCGATTTCTATCACACCTTTGGACGCATTCCTGTCACAGAAAGATATCAGCACGAATTTTCAGGTATTTACGCTTCTACACAGGTTAGTATGTTGGATTAAGTTGCTAGTGCTTTTTAGACTTTCTTCTGAACCACAAGGATCCCTTATGCCCCTCTTATCAAAGCTTATACGATTCATTTCAAAAATGTCGGGTCGGAAATCTCAAGCTTTTTTGTGTATACTCGACATGATTTTGTTTCTCCTTATTTCAAAATTGAATCCAGAAGGCTTCAATCTCTGCGATATTGCCTCGAAAAATGAAAGTGCCCAATGCCCTTCGTTGTCACAGTTGTCGAAACGAGACTCCAATTCACAGTCTCCGCTACCTCTTGCGATAACCGTTTGCTGTTGTCTCATTAGGAATTCCGATTCCCCGAAATTGATCAATCAGGTAAGATGCAGCATCATCACTAAGCTATTTTTTATAGATTTTGGTAAAGCGATTGGCTAATAATAATGAAGCGTACTTCAAAGATAAACTGAGAGTTGTTTTGCTGTCTCTTTGTCTCTGGGAGATCTCTGGTGGCCAATTTGATCGGTCAGTGCATGGTGAAGAGTTTGATACTGCTGCCAAAGTATTTGGATTCACTTCTTTTGACGAATTCTTGGAGTGAGTTTGTGCAGTTTTCTGATTGGTATTAATTTCAGGAGCTCTCCGCATGAGTATGGTGCATTTATTCGATTGGCTGGAGTTGAAGTGATGGGAGAAGGTCCAATTAATGCAGAACCAATCGAAATTGCGGCTTATTTATTTGGAAAAGATTCTTTTATGGACTTCATTCAGCGCCTAAAGTTAGCTGATACTGTAAGCTAAGTTGTTTATTTTTTCTATGCCTATGCTACAAATAGTGCCCAATCAAACGTATTTCCTTTATATTAGACCTACTTTAAGTCATTGAGTAGTATCGAAAATCTTGTGGAAATTTCTAACCATCTGATTCAATTTGTCCTTCTCTTCGCGAACGATAATACAAACAATCTTGAGAATAACGCCTCATTTCTTGGCCATCATCTCATATCCCGTTTTTTGATTTTGCTTGTCCAACTTTTCCCAACTCATCGCGCAGAAAGTAGTGGTGCAATAACTGAATCACTTTTTTCAAGTTTGACGCTGGAAGAAACGGTAAAGAAGGCTTCACATGTCCTATCCAAATCTGTTTCTCTAAGTTCTGACTTCGTATTGGTGAGAATTAGATGTTTATCTTATTTTCAGTACCATACTTGTCCATATTTTCTTAAAATGGAGCTTTCTGCTTGGTAAGAAATTGTCCGATTCGCTTTTGGAAGCCGCTGGTTTCCTATTGGAAGATTCAAATCAACCAAGTGAGGGCTCACTTTTTGATCCTCTCGGTGGTTATTACTCAAGAGTCTGCATATGGCTTGGAATTGCCCGTTTCCTCAATCTCCTAAGTTTGACCTCCAACGTCACGGACATCGCTAGAAGCTATTTGAATTGGCGTCTTATTGGCGGAATAATTGATCTCTTAGATGGTGAATATCAACGGTAAGACCCACAATTCGATTGCACTAATTTATCATAGAAATCGATTGGTCAATATGGGCTTTATTTTGTCTTCGCTTTCTTCAATTTTGGATGAAATTTTGTCACATGATAATGTTACTCCAGGTGATCCGGTAAATTAACAAATCAACCTATTATTTATTAAATTAGCTTGAGATTGCATGGCACAATTCGACAGTTTATTTACTAGTGGAAATTTCTTTAAAATTACCCTCCTTACCGGACTCTCTTCACTTGGAATTGTCCGATAAAGTAAATCGATTGTTTGCCTTAACTTTTCTAATAGATCGATCATATTTTGGCTGCACTCTTTCATGGTGTTGGCGGAACAAGGTTTTCAAAGGCTATTTGCCAACTTGATTACGTGATAACGAAGGGAAGTATTTTATCAACATATGAACCGCATTTTTTGAGCAACTGCACCTGCAACAGAAGCGATCCCAATCAAGTACATGTGGATAGTTATTAAATAATAGCATTCCTATTTCAGGAAATAGTCCGACTCCTCAAAACCCTTAACAGTATGCGCTACCCAAATCTGCTAAAATATCGAGCTACTGGTTTTCGGCACTTAATCGGTCTTCTACAGTCGAAATTTGAGACGGAAGCTTTGAAGTTGCACGAGAAATTAGTTCTTTCCCTTCAGGAATTCGAAGAATCGAAGGCGAGCTTAGCAGCAGCTTCCACAATTCAAAATTGGGTTCCTCCAGCAAAGGCTATCGGAAATACTCTTCTGCCCAATAAGAACCGTCAGGAGCTGAGGAAGTTGTTGATTGGCTTATTAAGGGGCAATGATGTAGTGATAATCGATTCTGCTACGCGCAGTGCCATTGCTGAATGTATTGCTTGCTTGGGATCTGATTTCGACGAAGAAGACTATTTCTTTTATTCATTTGATGAAATTAAGAAAATTTGTGCTGATAAATCACCAAATCCTTTGGCTGTTGAGCAAATCAGAGCTATGGTGACAATCTTAAATAGGCTTACTTCTCCTAAGTTTGTACCTGTGGTATTTTTTGTTGACTGTGTTTATTTAGTTCGAGATTTTCAAAATTGGGGCCTCCGTGCCTTCGAGAGGTGTTATCTGATTCTCAACTTCGATTAACTCTCTTCGAAAATATCAACATATATGAAGCTCAACAGGAAATGAGCCTTATGATTAAATTCGCTCCTTTTGTTTCTAGCGATGAGTTGAACACTATGAAAGCTCCCAAGACACAAGTATTTGCACTTTTTACATTTCAACCTTATTTTTTTGTAGGATTGCTTGAAATTCAGCATTCGAAATATCTCTGAATCGGCCCTTATTGAACTATGTTCTAATAGCCTCCTCAATCTCACGAAAACCTGTGATAGTCAAACAAAACCTGCCATTTTAATAATTGCCGAATGGCTTTTTGTGAACAAATTAGTTTTAGATGATTTCTTTCAAGCCTGCGCATCACTTATCCTCGTAGAGGTGATATTGTGGCTTTATATTGAAATATTGATTTAGACTTCAATTGCGAATCGTCTAGTACCTTGGATATTCGCTCTTCTTTTGGTGAATCTAAAAATGACAACTAATCCTAAAGTTGGAAAACTCGCAGACAAGGCTCTTCATTATGTAATTGCAGCATTTAATTCGCTTATTGGTAAACCCGAAATGGAGGGCTTCATTCATTCGGTTGTAATGGCCTTACATTCATATTCGCAATGGCTTATTCGAACAAGGTAAGTTGACGCTTGAAGTAAGATCGATTTCATCTTACACTCGTCGTTTATTTTGCGCAGAACTATTTCGAAGATGGAATTGGGCTTCGACTGGCTCGCTTTTTCAAAGAGTGCACTTGGCTCGGATTCTATTGAAACTGCTTGGCTTTTCTATGAATTTGAGTGGCTAAGGCGGTCAGTCCTTAAATATCTCTCACGTATCAATTTTATTAATTTATATAGTTGTCTTTCTGTATGTGGTTATGCGCTTTCGTATCATATTGTAGGCCATATGAGATGTTTAGTAATGTTACTGCCCAGAACCTTTGGATCGATTTATGCAAAGTTCAAGGTGATCTTGCTGGTCTGAAAGCAGCTCAAATCGCAATGGCACCCTTTTTCGATCAGTCTATCGACCTTGAGAATCGCTTTCGGTAAGAAATGATCTTTCATTTGCATTGCTAATTGCCATATCGGTAAGGGATTGAGCTTTCTTATTGATTTTAGATGTGCGATTTCAGAATTCGATGGTCAGTGGAATTCCTCACTCTCCCGTGATGATATAGGTGTTGCCCAAATTGCCTTGCATCTTCATAAAATCGGGGCTGATAAGGCCTTCACTCAGTTACTTTCCGCTCCATCTAGTATGCTTCAAAACCTTTCATGAATATTACTTAATTTCATTCAAAGTAGTGTAATCGGTTTATATTGTCATTTGAAGTGGTGGAGACTGAACATATGCCGTCATTGATTGAGGCCAAATATCGTGTGGCTTGGCGTTCTAATCCTTGGAAGTTAGATAAACCAACTCACTTTCAGTTGGCCAAAGACCCTATGCTCCTGGGTGTCGATTTTAAAATTCGTTCGAGAGATCTATTTGTCCAACTTCCCACTGCTTCCAATTTTATGCTTCAACGTGGGATTGACACAGATTTATTTGATTCCGAGACCTTGAAAGGCGTTCGGCAAAAATCATTATCCATTCTGAGTGATTGGAACGCTTCGACTTCTAAAGCAATGCCTCAACTGGACGACGAAAGATTGATCTATCTCCTCCAAAAGTCCGTCTGTTGTGAGGACTGGAAATACGCTGAACAGCTGATTAATAAACGAAGGTTAGATCGGAAATTTTCACCTCCCCAACAGTTTTTTTTCAGGAATTCATTAGTTAATAATATCACTTCCCATAAAGTGGATCTCCAGGAATTTTCAACGGAAATGAATTTGTTGAAAACTTGGAGTCAAGTCTGCAGTCTGAAGGATGAAAAATCTGATTCAAGGAGAAACGCTCCTCTATTCCTTCTTCAAGCGTCTATCGAACAGGGCATCAATAGGAAAAATCCCACGCCTTCGTCTCTAATGGAAGCCACCATTTGTCTTGCTCAAGCTTTGTCAGATAGTGAGGATCAAGTTTCCTCGTTGAGTATTCACACTCAACTCCAACTGGCTGACTTGTACATCGAACACGGAAACGCATTACAGGCTGAACAGCTATTCAAAACTATCCCTTCATTCAATTTTTCTTCTCAACTCCTCACTATGAAACGAGATCTCTCCATGGCTCTTACACGATCAAGATTGCAACGCTTTTGTGGTGAGACCTCTTTATCTTGTGCGAGACAGAACGCGGTTCTTGAAGAGGCTTCCCGACGTTTATCTAGACTGAAAATCAGTCATGATGTCCCCACTTGGTTATTGTTGGAGTCCTTTCTTTCTTCCGCGGTTGTTCTTTGTAAATGGTTCGCAGAATCCGGTTCCTTGAGTTCAGCTGATCTCATTTCTCTCAATCTCAAACCGGTGAGGTCACCAATTAAAATCGGTTTCTTTTTACGTAGTTTCTTTCTAGGCAATCGAGTTAACAGAGAAGTGTTGGCCTTCCGAAGTTAAACCCCCACTTCCTAGTTCAGCGGACGCTTCTGCGTTGCTTGCAGAGTTTGCAGATACCCAGTTCCAGGCTCTCGATGCGTATTTGAAATCTCCAGAATTTGCAGCTCGTAGAAGATTACTGGCAGACGCCGATGCCGATGCTGCATGTTTGACAGAAGTTGACAAGAAGAGGTTGGTTTTTTTGAAGCCTACCCTGTTAGTTATTACCTAAATAAGTCTGATTTGACGGATCTGTCTCTGTGTGTGTGTGCGTGTGTTTTTAGTCGATTCCTTCGGTTGCTTCAACGTCAGTCCACCATCGAAAGCGGGGAGCTTTCAAATCTCTTTTCAAGTCTGCAGACATTCTTTTCCACTGCTATTCTCTCCTATTGTCAATGCTTGGCACATAGTGATAAGTTCAATCTAAGGGTGAGCAGTGAACCTTTGCAATGTCTTTTTTTAATAGTGCCTAAAAGTAATATAATGGTAGTGAATTCAATTTTACCATATAAAACTTAGTAACTCTTCAATGCTACCGGAACGTTGCAATATCATGTAGGACATCGCTGATCGGAGCTGATCGAGGCTCATTAACGCTCACCTAGGGTTTAATTACTCTAATAACAATTTATTTATATCAAATGGCAGGCGTTTTGATAGTTGTCATTAGCCCTTTAGTTGACTTCAGGCTTCAGAGAGGGGCGGAGGAACATCAAAGTTAAAATGTCGAGAGAGAGAGAGAGAGGGGGGGGGGNGGGAGGAACAGAAACGTGTTCCAAAGATGTTAAAGAGGCAAACAGACACAAAGGTAGAAAAAAGATGGCGTGAGTACTGTGGAAGTAGTCGAATATGACATACAGTGGGGCCATTGTAGCTTGAAGTCAGAAGTCAACTGCCGATTAATAGACTTTTTTGCCGTATGAGTGTACGTAGCCCAGGGTGCACCACGTGGAGGTAGGTCTATCGCACACCCTACTCTAATAACAATAATAATAATGATAATGAATCGCTTGAAGACACCGGTTGTTTCTGCAGGTAACCTTGAGGCTTTGTCTGAATTAGGCTTCCCGAATCCCTCATGGTGTACATGGTAATGGCCTTGAGGTCTAGGTAGTTGGATCCAAAAATATAAATGGGAAAACGAGTTAGACTTCTTTATTTGAAACTAGGTCCAAAAGTCCACCATTATTTGCTTTTTGATCAAAATCAATAATTTTGTTAATTAGAAAAGCATAACTTTGATGTAGCTTGTTACCAACTCGAAAAATTTCTCAATTTGTTTAAATGATGAGTTTATCTCTTCATGGTCGTAGGTTTATCGCCTTGTCTCCCTTTGGCTAAACGCTGCTTCCCAGATGGCTACAACTCGGGTGCTCGTTGGATACGATGCTGACGGAATTACCACTTCGGAAACCCTTTTCACACCGGCTTGGCTTAATTCATTAAGTTCACATTTGGCAAGAATTCGAGAGGATAAGTTTCTGCCACTATTCCCTCAACTTCTTGTTAGACTGACTAGTCATGGCAGTGAGAACAAGGCTCAAGTGGCGTTCAAGCAAATGCTGGAGAGGGTAAGATCATATAGTCACCGCATGCCTCAAGTTCTCTTCGGGGCACTATCAACTAAAAGTCACTAAATGTCTCATAGGATTTTAAATTGCGAGCTTCACATTTGCGATTCCTCAATGAAGAGTTCTGATGCATGCTTTAAGTGTAAATTCACAGAGCGGAGGAGGAACAGCAAAGTGACAAAAAATCGATAGGGGGGGGGGGAGACAGAATAATGATTCACAGGCGTAAAAGAGACAGACAAACAGACACAAAAGCATAGAAAAGGTAAGATGAGTTCTGTGAAAGTTGTGGAATATGACACAGTCAGTGGGGTGATGGTAGCTTGAAGTTAGAAGTCAACTGCC